TTCCCACCCTTTTACACAGGCCTAGAAAGAAATGACCTCCAGCCATGCCACAATTTCTGCCTGGGGACAGAACCAGCTGGCAGAGAAGACAGTCTGTGGAGCATACCCTCAGCTCTGGGTCCCAGCCAGCAGGAAGAATAAGGCCTTACTGTTGTCCTCTTCTAGATCCTTCCGCTGCCCACCCCACTCCACAGGCAGTAGTGGCAGGTGTGAAAACTCTTTGGAATGGTAAGACAGATGCTGGGGGGCTCCAAGAGAGACATTAATTAGAATGCAGCCCCTCGACCAGGCTGCTGAAGACCTGTGAGTATAGATGATCAGGGCATCCAGGATAAATTATAACAGACATCTCAAAACACTCACTTTATACACAGGCAAAACTGCCTGAGAAGTGATGCTGCCGCCTTCGTGTCTCAGCACCAATGTTTCCTGAGGCATCAGCCTGGCCCTGGAGGTGAATAAAAATTTAAATCCCACAGAAGGTCCCTGTGTGCCACTTCTCAAAAGACAAGGCCTGGCTGGAGTCCCTCGTCCAGCATGCACCAGCACACGGAAGTGCTCTGTGGGAAAACTCAAAAGGCCCTTGTTTGACTCCCAACATTCTAAGCATATCTCCTGGGATCCATGGTGGAACCCTGAAAAATATTTTAAAGAAGGCTGCCCTGACACCTTGTGGTTGATACAGAGAAGAAAAAAAAAAATATCTCATTCTCAGAATGGACACACCAAACAGAATCTTTATTTTTTCAAAGAATGATATCCAGATTTAAAATAGAATATTCCAGAAATAAGAAGGGTGTGGCAGAGCCTTACAACTGGGCCCAGTGTCAACCACTTTCATGGAGTCCTACGAAAAATTATTTGTAATTCAGTAACAATCTTCTTGACTTATTTCATTAATCAGATTTTCTGAGTCAAGTTAATTTGACCATATGGTTTAATAGGTTTTGACAAGAAATTAAAGTATGCCATGACTAAAAAGAACTTTTGTCATTAACTCTCACCACTAGATATCAGCCATGGACATACATGATCTATTTCATTCTCTGCCTCTGTTTCGCTTGCTCATTCACTTTCTCACTTTTGCTCTCTTTCTCTCACACACACTATGTATATAGAGTATGGCACACAGGGACCATGTATGTGTGTATGTGTATGTGTGTGTAGAGTGTATGTGTTTATATGCAGTGTGCATGTGTGTATGTATAATATAAATATCTACACACACTCTCTGTAAAATATCCTATAGATTGACTCTTGCCCCAGGTTTCTCTTTGCCTCTTCCTGACATCTTTCACACCAGGTTTTTGAGATTCATCCCTGTGGTTATATGAATCAGTAGATTATTATTGGGCAGTATTTCTTCATAGATATATATATTAGAATTGGTATCTATTCCCTGTCTGGAGGACACGGGGTTGTGGGATGCAGGAGGTTAGAAAGAAGCCTTCCTTCTCCAGGCCTCACCCCATACTGAGGTGCTATGGGCAGTTCATACATGTTCAGGGAGGAAGACTCTTGGAAGGTGGGACCACTGGCAAGTTTTTCCCACACTCATTCACACAAGTAAAAAATTTTTTAATGAAAAAGATGATAAAGTTGGGAGGGGGTATTCTTGGGTTTACAGAGGGAGTTAGAGGGGAAATGAGGGTGGATGTGATCATATCTCTCTCTCTCTCTCTCTCTCTCTCTCTCTCTCTCTCTCTCTCTGTGTGTGTGTGTGTGTGTGTGTGTGTGTGTGTGTGTGTGTGTGCATGTGTGTGTGAAATTACCAAAGGACGGGGCTGGAGAGATGGCTTGGAGGTTAAGAGCACTGACTGCTCTTCCAAAGGTCTTGAGTTCAATTGCCAGGAACCACATGGTGGCTCACAATCATCTATCATGAGATCTGGTGCCCTCTTCTGGCATGCAGGCAAATAGGCAGATAAAACACTATATGTAATAAATAAATAAATTAAAAAAAAGAAATTACCAAAGGACAAAAAATATGATAAATAAATCTTTGAATGTTTATGACACATGTCTCATTTCTTCTGGTAAAGACATAGGAGCATACCCAAGAGCCTGAGATAAGACACTGATGGCTTTACATGGAGCTGCTGGTCCTCTCCCAAGTGGCTGTGTGGCTTCACTCTCTTCCTAGAAAAGTACAGTAGCAGCTGCCCAACTCCCTCACAGCAAAGCTAGGTGACATCCCGCTGCCTCCAGCTGTTACCTGGGAGTGTCTTTATCTTGCCATGACTGTGCCATTGGATGCTGCAGGCTCACTACTGTCCTCGGGTTACTGTGCTGTCTCTCTAGGTGGTGATGCAGTATCTCAACCTCTGGGGGTGACATCCTTCTGTCTCCTGTGTTTCACTTCCCTCCTCTATTCACCCATAATTCGCTTTAATTTGGAACATGATGTGGGAGGTCCTTCTGTGTATGTTTATCTTCTTATTGGTTGTTAAATAAAGTACTGTTGGCCAATGAAGAAGCAAGTTAGGCAGGACTAGGAGTCAAGGAGGATTCTGGGAAATGTAATAAAGAAGTCTTGTGATACAGGCAGGAAGTGACATAGCAGGCAGACTCATATATAAGCAAGGGCAAGAAGGAAGTTGTTCCTTTTTCTCTTCCTCCTGCTCTCTGCTCTGGAGCTGCCATGTGATCCCGGCAAGAGAAGATGCTAGCAGCTGGCGTCCAATAAGATACGTCTTTATGGTTGATACTTAAGACTGAGCTAGTAAGCAAGAAATCCTAGTCAGTTGGCCAAGCAGCATTGTCCCTAATACAAGTCTCTGTGTTATTTGGGACCTTAACGTGGCAGCGGGCAGAACTTTGGCAGCCTGGCAGAAAGCACCCATGTGGCAGCAGGGCTTGGGTGGCTTCAGAGTAAAGACTTATCGTTACAGAATGGCGTCAGTGAGCAGAATCACCCCACGCCCCCGAGGTTCCCAGAGGAAGTGGTGAACCTGCCATGCATATTTATGCAATCCATGTTAAGGCCTTTCATTCCTGGGTATGTCTGTGCTCACTGGTGTTTCCCTTAAGGTCACAGTTTGCTTTCCACAGTGGTAGCTTTGGTGTTTGTGTCATGCTGGAGATGGACCTCAGACCTTCAGCATGCTAAACAAATATTCTAGCCCTGAGTGGCAGGCTCAATCTGACATTTCCTATAGAATTCTAGGTATTGTGAGTGTCACCTTGCTCAGATGCTCAGACTATATCAGGCTGATGCTTTGACTCTCGTGTTCCCGTGGGCTGGTTCCTGGGTTTCCTTCACTCCTGAGCTCCTACAGCCTGAGACTCATATCCTAGCTGTCACAAGTGCCCAGTGGGTCATGAAACTCATGGCCTCACACCCAGCCCTGTGTGAGTTCTGAGAACTGTCTACCTCTTAAGCTCAGTCATTCTGAGGTCCCTAGTGTTTCATGCTGCACATGTGCAGGTGTTAAGTGTAAGCAGATGCCTGACACTGTCCTTTGTCTTCCATGTCTCCCAAACTCTGACTGGAAATTTGTGACCATGTTTGCCTCTCCAAGTACCAATGTGAATATTTCTGGCTCAGTGAGGTCACTTGCTTCTGACCACCCACACTACTGCAAGGGCCATCTCATCTACCCCTTCTCTAGGCGGTCAACTACCACCCATCTGTTCTCTAAAACCTAATATCAGTTGATTTGTCATCTTTATAGCAAGAGAGTCAATGTAGCTCTGGATAATCCATCAATCATAGGAAGTCCCAGGTTGTTGGCCTTTCTAACTCAGGGAAAACTTTTGTGTATTATCACCCTGTGGCTGCTATACCATATTGCTGATGGGGTCTCACTCTGTAACCCTAGCTGGCATTAAACTTGAAATGTTTCTTGCCCACCCTCCTGAGTGCTGGGATTATAGGTGTGCGCCAGTAGTTCCCAACCTTCTAATGCAGCAACCCTTTAATGCAGTGCCTCGAGCTGTGGTAGTGCCAATCATAAAGTTTTCATTGCTACTTTATAACTGTAATTTTGCTACTTCTATGAACCCTAATGTTAATATCTAACATGCAGAGTATCTGATGTGCAACACCTGTGAAAGCCATTCAACCCCAAAAGGGTCACAACCCACTGCTTAAGATTAGACAAAACAGCTCATTCAGTAATGGTTCTGGAAGCCAGGGTCTGGAATGAAGGAGCAGGTAAGGCCGCACACCTCACTGAGGCCTCGGGAACAGCTACTCTCTGCCCTCCCAGACCCTACTATTTAGCACTTTCTCACTGGTTTCTCCATCACATGGAAACATCTTGAAAACCAGATAGATCCTACTGTAACTAAAAATAAAAGAAAACACCAACAGAGGGTATGGAGCAGGGAGGAGACAGACTCCTGGGCTGTGTGCTCAGAGGAGGGCATGCTTGGAGTCAGTGGGCTTGAGTTGAAGTTAGCAATCTGGATTTTCCAAAACCCAAGAAATTCAATTTTTTTTAGAAAGTTAAAGATCAGTGTTATTAAAGTAGGAAGGAGACTCCTCTGTGAGGCCTTTAGAGATGAAGCCAGCCTGGCTATAGAAGCCATATTGGAGAGGGATATGAAATAAAGGATTTGTCCTCTCAGATGATGGAGAGGAGCCATGGTCCACCAATTAGGAAAGTTGGGAGAGAGGAGCTGAGGAGCTGGTTCATCCAGGCAGATGGGAGCCCAGAACAAACTAAATGCCACAGAGCTTAGGTTTAAGGACACAGAAGGGCTGGAGAGGATTTATAGGGCTTGTGACTGTCACTGGGCAGGAGAGGTTGTGGGAGGGACCGTCCAGTCAAGCACAGGTGACTTGGGCATCAGAAAAGCAAGAAATTTAAATTTTAGATCACAGGAAACGGCCTAGGAAACACACCTAATTTAGGACTCTGTCCTGGGCCCATTCTTCTCTCTTTCTTCATTCTATGGATTGATTAGAAACATTGAGGAAACAGAACCGTGGTCTGTAATGGTTCTTGAGTATCATAACATCCACATGACAGACAGGTTTGCCTGTGTCTTCTCAGAGTGGAAAACCACCGATGAACTAAGCCATCTGAATGCTGAGAGAGACAAAGTGAGTGAAGGAGAATCCACAAGAATGCCAAGGTTCCCATTTGAACAGAGCAAATATAGAAACATGAAGAAGTTGGTGACTCGCAGGTCAGCATGCAGTGGCACACAGGTCGACGTGCAGTGGCATGGGAGGTTTTCCTCTGACCCACTGGAGGAAGTTACAAGCGTGTGAAGAACTTGGCCTGGATACATCACTTTCACTAGAATGTGTACACACAGATGATATGGGTTAGACGGGGACCTGTTCATCAGGAGGTATGTACAGGACTTTGTGAAGGTTTCAGCAAGGCCCTACTTGGGGATCCCAGCTTTCCTGCAACAGGAAATCCTCAAACTTGCTTGTTTATCTTCAGAGAAAGGGTCTCGTGGCTGGTCTCAAAAGAATTCTCTATCTAGCCAAGGGTGACTTTGAACTTCTAGTCTTCCTGTCTCCACCTCCAGAGTGCTGGGATCATGGGCATATGCCATCACCTGTTTTTATGTGGTTCTGGGGACCCAACACAGGTCTTCCCTCATGCTAGGTACACACTCTACCAAGTGAGCTATATCTCCAGGCCAGAAAATCATTAATTTTTCATGTTATTTTATTACAGATAACACGTTAAAAAAAAAACTCATGAGCAGTAAAATGATTTACTAAATAATTTTTAGTTTCTTCCAAATTCTCTAAATTACTAACCTGAAAAAAGTTAGTAGGAATAAAGGCATGTATTCTTGGGTCTGCATGGCATATTTAATTTACACGTGACATTGAAGGCAATTTAAAGGAATACTTCTTTTCAAAAAGGAAGCAACTGGGGCTGGAAAGATGGCTCAGCAGTTAAGAGCACTGGCTGCTCTTGCAGAAGAGTCCGGTTGGTTCCCAGCACCCACATGGCAACTCACATCATTCCTAACTCCAATCCCTGGGGAATCCAACACCCTCTTCTGGCCTCTGCCGGCACTGCATGCACATGGTAAACTAATGCAGGCAAAACACTCATACACATGGGATAAATAAATGTAAAAATACTTTAAAGAGAGGCAACTGCTTACAAGAACATCTACAAAGATCTCTTGAAGTTTGCAAGCATTTTAACTGTACCTAAAGATGCTCCATTTTTCTATACCATTTATTCCTTTTGCAGCCAAAGGAGACCATTTCGGAGATCTGCAACTGATCAAAATGCAAAGAACAACTGACCATCAGGTGCCCAGCCCCAGCTGACACACCTGTAACACAACTCCTGCACCTAATACTCAGGGAACATCATGGAAGATAGATCAGAAAGACTGTAAGAGCCAGAGGACCTGTGTAACAGGAGGTCTACTGTAAGATCCTGTTTCTTCATATGTAACAGGAGATCTACTGTAAGATCCTGTTTCTTCATATGTAACAGGAGATCTACTGTAAGATCCTGTTTCTTCATATGTAACAAGAGGTCTATTATAAGATCCTGTTTTTTTATATGTAACAGGAGGTTTACTGTAAGATCCTGTTTCTTCACATGTAACAAGAGGTCTACTGTAAGATCCTGTTTCTTCATATGTAAAGGGGAGCTGCAGTCATGAAATCTCAATATACGACTGCTTCAGCAAGACCTGGACAATGACAATACCATTTGATATGCCATGTGGGACCACTTCTAGAGGAAGAACTTCAGGCAATTAACAGTTCCTGAGAGATTTATCTTCTCCAAAGATGAACTCCCTGAAAGGCTACCCAATCCCCATGTCAGTCCTAAAAACATATGCATACAAGCCACACTAAATGCAATCAACTGGTTTCTTGTGTACACATATACATGTATGTATATACACATACTATGTATGTATATACAGTATATGTGCACATGTAACACACATTACAACAATAAAGAATAAGAAGCCATGAATTTGTGGAGTAAGGTAAAACATGGGAGAAACTGGAGGGCAGAAATGATGTAAATATGTTTTAATTTAAAAGATTAAAGACAACAACCACAACCACAATAAAGCGATTACTTGAAGGAACTCCTATAAGCTATCTCATGAAGTTTGTAAGCGTTTCCATCATACCTATAAATAGTCAGATTTTTACAGCCTTCATTCCATCTTTCCCAGAAAAGCACTTCTGCTACCTTCCCCACCCTTCGCATCACTCTAGGAGATGTCACAATGGAAAGAGATACCTGAGATGATTTCAACTTTCACTGTAAGGATTTTTTTAAAGTCTTTGCCTAAAGTGTCTCCATAGAAAGCCTAGAGTAAAGATGGAAAACAGAGAGCACAAACACATCACATCGGGAACGGTTAGTGGGCAGACACAGAGTGGACCAGTCTGGGATGACACAGCATCAGACAACAGCAGAAACACATCCAGATAACTTCCAACTCTAGGTACTCTGCCAGAGTCAAGCAGCCTAACCCATGAACACTGAGGGTCAACCTTGCCCCCTGCATCCACAGTAGCATCCCCTTACTCTATAGGGAATGTGACACAAAACTATGAAAGGGGCTGGAGGCTTGACAGTTCTGTCTCTGGGGGTATTCCCTGCATTTCCTGCAAGAACAGCCACCTCTCAGTGACAAATGAGAGCTCTGTAAATCAGTAGACTCCTACAGAGCAAAGTAACAATAACATTTTCATGATGCAAAAGACCTGCCAAGATTTTCCAACAGTGTAGCATTATCCTTGTGCAAAGTAGCTGCTCTTTCACATTTCAGCAGTCAGTAGTGTCAACTTACATTCAGAAATTTGGCCAGTGGAAAGAGTCCACCTTCTGCCTCACACTGCTACAAACCACCAGGAGCCATCCTCCCAGCCTAGCTGTAGGCAAACGACCCCAACCCTGCCTTCCCCCCATGTGGCGCTAACCCGCAGAGAAAGAAAGTAGCCCTAACTCACCTGCAGCAGAATGTTTGAGGAAGAGACACCAGAGCCGACAGGAGTTCTGAAAGGCCTGAGGAGGTGAGTATGGGAAGCCCAAGGCAGACTCGGAAGTCAGTGTCCTCTGTTCATGGTACAGGTCCAGTGGGTGTTTGCAGAAGGGCATGGGCAGTATGGAGGCCTGGGGGAGCTGCCTTCTCGGTACAGCTTGAGAAGAGGACTGTCCCCTGCTGTAGAAAGTTCCCAGGGGGCTCCTGGTCTCTTCCTTCGGCTGAAGACTACTCAAGTGGCAAAGAGGAATTGGCACACAGGTAGAACCAATCTGCTACTATGATGACTGCAGTTGGGGACTTGGCCATGCCCGAGGGGGCCCCGGGGCCAGGACCAGGACTGCTGCCAAAGGTTGATTAGTAGCCTCATCAGCTGTTCAGGGAAAGAAATATACAGTACTTTCTGCACCACCACCTCCCAGCCAAGACCCGGGTACCTCAGCATGCTCAGGGGTGAAAGCAGTACAATACAAGGATGTCCCTCCCTGTCACCATTGCCCTGCTGTCAAGCCCTGAGCATCAAGAGACACACCAACACAGAACTAATTGTCTCTGGCTGTTTTAATGATTACTAACTAGGCTCACACTTTACCCTTTAATTTTTAGATTTAATATTAATCTACAACTCAGCATCTCCCCCAAACACTCGGAGATGAGATGATTAAACATAGGGAAGCCTGGTAGTGAGTAGTGATCCATGCATCAAACAGTGAGGCCGGAGTCCAGGGTTTTAAAGCAGTATTAGGAGACGTGAACAAAAGTGAGAACAGATGGCAGGGCCTCAACCCTAACCTTTTGTACCTACTAAGAACATATCTTCTTTTTTCTCAGTAAGTGAGGCTGTGGGCCTGCATTCCCAGCATGGGAAAACCTGCTGAAATACTGTATTATTTCAAACAAGCTCAGCTTTATGGGGGAAATGTCACGTTCAGTTGAAACAGATCTTCAGGTGACAAGGGACCCAGGTGATTTCCAGATATTGTGAAATAATCTCTTTTGTACACTGTGTTGCTCTCATTGGTTTAAGAAAGAGTTAAATGGTCAATAGCGAGGCAGGAAAAGGTTAGGCAGGACTTGTGGACAGAGAGAGAGTGCTGGGATGAAGAAGGGGAAGTCACCCACCGGGAGATGCAGGGAGAAGCAAGATGAACATGATATGTTAAAGGAGCCGAGCCACGTGGCAGAATGTAGATAAGAAATATGGGTTAATCTAAGTTGTAAGAGCTAGTTACTCACAAGCCTCAGCTGTAAGACTGAGCATTTATAATTAATAAGTCTCTGTGTGGTTATTTGGGAGCTGGCTGACAGGATCAAATATGCTGCCTTGACTCTTCTTTCCCTTTCTTTAGCCATGGTCAGCAAATACTCAAACCCTATGAAGCAATCTGGGCAAAGCAGAGCTTCAGGAATATGGCACTGGCCAGGACTCATCCATCCAAGTTAGCACCATGCTCATGGGCTCACACCACCCTCAGCATGATGGTGGACCAGTTGCATCCCCTCCTCTTTCTCAGCTCCCCACCTTTCTGCCTTCACTGCAGCAGCTGAGACAACCTGCTCACAACTCTCTCCTCCACAGGATAGCATTAATACTTCCTAGGAGGTTTTAACATACTCTCCCCATCCTAGACACATGTCTCTGGCTTCAGATCTTTTCCTGGCCACAGAGGCCTGGTGGCTTTTGTGGGAAATGCAGAGTGGGTTCACCATACCCCTCTAGAGCAAGTCTCATCAGGCAGAAATCAGAGATTGGTGGGTGGCCACTCCAACTTCAGTGCTGCCCACGGGATCATTTGTGGATGCCTCACAAGGGTTCTCCAATGACCTAGGGAATGAGCTGGGCAGTCATTGGCTTCTGTCAGGCCATCCCAGATTACTACATCATCCAGCATCCTCAGGTACTAGCACCTGCCACCTCAAAAGAGGTCTCTGCAATGACGATATCTCTGAAATCAGCATGAAGTTGGACTTGATCTTCACATCTGGGATCACTCACTTCCACTATCCTCTGCTTTGAAATAGAAATGGAAGCAAGGAAGGAAGGAATGAGAAAAGAAAGGAAAGAAGGAAGGAAGGAAGGAAGGAAGGAAGGAAGGAAGGAAGGAAGGAAGGAAGGCAGACAGGCTGGCTCCAGAATAGGATCAAAGTTCTATCATGATGCTCCCCAGGACATCCAGCCAGCCAGGCACATGGCAGACTGTAGTGTGCTGTGCAGTGTCCTGTTGGGTGCTGTGTGTTCACATTGTTTCTCTGTAGGAAGTCCCATGGAACACCTGCAGTATCTAGGCTCCTCCCTGTAACCTTCAGTCACCTCATCTCCATGTGCCACATCACAGTTCTTCGTGTGCCAGGGGGACTGGGGACATGTGTGGATTAGACTAGGAGGAAGTGAGAAGTCACAGGGCAAGCTTCCCTATTAAAAGGGAACATGACTGGCTGAAAGTGTGACAGTGTGCTTTCCTGGAAGAGTGAGCTCTACTCAGATTCCTGGAACACTTAGCGACAAGCATGCAATGATTTTCTGAGGGTAGGAGCCTGTTTTATTTGCGTGACATCTTTGAGACTGAGGACATCCATAGAGGGCCACATGTTGCTCTACTGCATGGAGAGAATCTCACCCTTCCCTTCAAACTCACAGGTCAATGGTTATGAAACAAATACGAGCAAAAAGCTTGAGTGTGTGGCACACAGGTAAACTACTTCCGAGGGACCAGAGGATTTATAATGTGAAGTATAATGAGGCAAATAATGACCTTGAAGGGGTGTTAATTATGCAGTTGTGTTTCCAGAAGAGTCTAGGATCAGTCATTAAAAGGGTAGACAGTAACAAACATAAAGAAAGTGGATAGAAGATGCTTTTCTTAACTGAAAATGAAGGATAAAGATTAGTGTGTGAAACGATGCATCCAATACTCACAGCAAACTTCGCACACGTGATTTGAACTTGAACTTGACACTGTGACTGGCTTTTCATGACCTAGGTCCTTGTGCTTGCAAAGTAAGCCCTTTACTGAAGAAACTACCTCCCTGACCCTTCTATGGAAGTTAATTTTATATGTCAATTTAAGCACACTGGAAGATGCCCAGGCCAGCAGACAACCATTAGTTCTTACTGGATTTGTGAGAATATGATTGACACCATGGTGAACTGAGTCAAGCAAAGGCACGCCCCTGTGTTGTGTGAACATACAACCCTCTGAAGACCCCAGCACAGCAAGAGGAAGAGAAAGTGAAGCCCACTGTCCACTTTCTGGATGTGTTTTCCCTCCATTGGCACTCCTGGAACCTATGCCATTAACCCCTGACCCTCAGGTCTCCAGACTGTATACTGGACTCTCTGGCCTCCAGTTTCCACAAGACAGACCATAGGACTTGTCAGTTTCTGTGACTGTATGAGATCATGGCTTATCACAGTAGTTCTCAACCTGTGAGTTGTGACCCCTGGGGTTGAACAATACTTTCTTAGGAGTCAAATATCACATGTGCTGCTAATCAGATTTCTCATTACGATTCACAACAGTAACAAAATTGTAGTCATGGAGTAGCAACAAAATAATATTATGGTTGTGGTTCGCCAGATGGAGGAACTGCATTAAAGGGTCACAGCATTAGGAAGGCTGAGAACCACTGGCTTATAATAAACCTACTCTTAATGAGAGAGTCAGAGATGGAGGCAAGGAAAGATGGTGCCCCCACCAATCAGACAGCGTTCCCTGCTGTGACAGTTTCTAGTGAGTTCTGTGACAAAGGGCCACAGGCTAAGTGGCTTAAACATTGAAAGTCTCTGACCTTAGAGTTCTGGAGGCCAGATGTGTGAGGTCAGAGTATGAGCTGGGCCACACCCCTTCTGACAACATTAGGGAAAGAAAGATCTGACTGGCCTGTTTCCCACCTTTCAGCTTCTGGGGTACCACAAAAGATGGAGTCTCTACCTCAGGGAGTGGCTTCATGTGGAAGTAGCTACTCACAGATGACTAAGCTCAGCTGAGATCGTTAGGGTGGCCCCTTTCCCAACCTTTGTTTTCCTGTGTCTTTACATATTCGGGTGAAATTGGACACATGCACAGGGACAATATGCATGTATAAATTCACCTACATCT